AAAGGAAAACCCCTGTCACCCCAAAGCTTGTGACATAATATTGTTAGAAAAGATAATGTTGCAAATACTATCGCCTCGCTAGGTAAAAATTTTCTCGATAATAATAATAGGCTAATATGAGCTTAAGCGCAGTTAGTGGTGCGTAATTAATTACATTCAGAAACATTCAACCAGGAAGTTCCGGTTCAATCTCTTGCGCTCCGATTTTTCTCGTTTAATTGCCAATCAAAAATTTTCTCTTAGTAGGTTTGGTTAGGGGATAATTACATAAAATCTCAAAAATTTCCTCTTAAGAGTTTGCTCAAGGGATAATTAGATAGAATCTTAAATTAAAGATTGTTAATTTTGAATGTTCAGAGAGTAGATCAGAAATGTGTTGACGGTAAATTAATATCGTCAGATCGATTTCTAAAAAAAATAATATAATTATCACGGACCGGTAATTAATTGTGCTTTAGCTCTTATTTTAACTTATTATTATTCAGATAATTAGATAGTGGAAGTTTTATCTTTTTTTCGTAAATTTTATATGAAAAAACAAATTTTATGTAGACAAATATATTAACATACTCGTAATATTGCAATTTATTTTTCACTAGAAAACCCTTCCTCTCTCTTCTTATCTGGACATTTTAAGCAGGGAAAATAACTAAAAAAATTTTTTAATCTCTATAATTTCCTTCTACTTAAGATGCAACATAAATTCGATTGATTCCGTAGGGATATCCGCGCTTAATGAAACATCTATTCCATTCTAATTATACGGGTAGTTAATAAAAACATTTTGGATCTTCGCCAAAACCGTCGCGGCTGCGAGTGGCATTCGAGTGGCAGAGTGTGAAGGGACGGGACATGTGGAGAAAAAGCGCTGACACACAAAGCCTAGTCCTGGGATACCTGATGTATATACCGGATACTCACTCGATGCAGCAGCGCTGCACCGAAACGCGCCGGCGTGTGCATGTTACTTCCCGATATACGATTAAATCCATTGTCGCGGCAATCGGGGTGAAATGTTTCCGATGCATTAATAACGCATAAATGTCAATCGGCGTGGTTTCTGGAGCCTGGCCAGCGCGCGTTCGCTCGCTCGCGCTCCGGGCTCTTCCTCTATTTAGGAAATCCATCATTCTCTCCCGGGTCAGCCGTCGTTCGAGGCTTCGGTTGCTGGCTGGCAAAGGACGCGCCGCTCCGCAGAGATGCGCGTTAACTTCGACCACGGCTGTTCCGGTGAACGCGAGAAATCCGATTACGGGCTCGTGGACACGAAACGAGATTGCTTTCGTCGCAGCTCAGATCATGCGCGCGCTCTTCCCGACTCGTTTTCTCGGCACAATGAATCGAATTTCTTCAGTCTTCCAACGTAACAGCAGCTCCGCCGTTATGACTCCGGCGTTAATGGGTTGTGTGATATCCCGTTATCGGATAAATTTTCCCAGCGAAAATTTTTGCCGCTGAATCAAATATCCCTTCGAAAAGAACGATTACAACGTCGTGTGAGAGATCAATAATTTGAAGAAAAAAAAAATATACAAAGATATTTAAGGAGAAATGGTATTCTAATGTATCAAATTTAATCAGAAAGTCTATTCACTGATGGATGTATTTAAAGCTATTATTTATCATCAGTATCATTACATATACGTACATTCGGTACATTATGTTATTATGGCATTCATAGGGTAAGTGTGAAATTTTGTTTCATATTGTATACCATTAACTAGGAGATTACGATTACGTGTTTCCTGAGATTTCCCGAGATTACATCCCAAGATCTCCTTGAGCGGATTTTGTTGAAATGCACGCTTGTTGAAATGTCGCTATATAGACTGGTTCGGATAAAGTACTACAAGTCGTTTTCTGGGAAACCATTAGGACTAATGACAAAAATTCTTTTCTGCAATTTAAAGATTTATTGAAATGTCCCATTAAAAATAGATATTCTTAACGAAAGATCTTTTTTGTCATATTTTCGAATTGCGCTTCTATCCGGAACAAATGCGATAAAATATTTCAGGCAAGGATTATCTGCTTTAAAAAAAGTTGAAACGAAAAAATTTATGCATCATTCCACAAAAAAAAATGAAAAGATATGCTCTCCTATTCTCTTTAAGGAGCTTGGCAATGGTAACTTATTTGCCTTACAAAGAGCCTTAACGACGTTTAGCATTTCAAATAAAAAAAAAAGGAAAAAATTGTCGTTAACAGTTCCTGAAAAAGTAATATAGCTTGTAGCGTTTTGCATAGATCTATGTTATATCTCTCGACAGCCAAGTGTACGGATGCAACAAACTGTTTAATTCTTGCAAATTAATTGCGCTTCGTAATGAGTTCCGATGCGAGATCGTCGATATCATTGATGCCGTCCAAAGTACAAACTTTCCCGCCCTGTCCCCTCTCCATGGACTCCTTTGATGAATTAACGATTCCGATACGCGGCAGTGCACTTGACGTCGTACTAATCGTCAATCGATCAGTGGCCGATTATTATTCCCTCCGCTGCTGCAGAGAAAATTCCACCCCACAAATTGCAATTAATGCCTCGATATTTTCAATTTCGGATTCGACACTACTGGACATTTTCATTTTCGAATTCGACACGATGAATTACGTCATCGGAGTTGAAAAATCGTAGAAAATTCTTTTGAGAGAGAGAGAGATATATATATATATATATACATGTTAAAATAAATGAATGTTTTCGCACGTTGCCACTCGTGTTTACAAAAAGTGCGCTGACTGAAATGTAATTTTTTTACGGTTACCTCTTTCTTAATAAATGACTGTGTGTTATTTTGCATGGACGTGTTGCGGGTTCTTGGAGAAAATGCATCTCAACGTCTAAATTTAACGTGAATATTCATTAACGTGCAAACTAATGAATTATCGCTCTGCGTGCATTTCACAAGTTTGTATCAGACACAAATAATCGCAACGCGGAAAAGAAACTCAATCTCAATCGCGAGAAAGCATTACTTCTAAAGTGCGATGCATCTGGAACGCTCTCAAGATTTCGGAATTTTCGCTCTTAGCTATCTGGATGCCAAATATTGCAGACACGTTCGTGCGGTTTAATGCAAGCCAAGACCTATCCGCCCCCGAATCTAATCGTATGCTTTGTGTTGGGTATTATACCGTAATAAGCGCGCTATTCGACGCTACCCGGGCGTCTGATTGCAACATCAACAGCCACTACGCAATTAACTATGCTCTAGCGGTTGCGTGCAAAAAATTTTAATTAGACTCACCTGGGTGCACGACATTGACGCGTGTACTCATGTTACGGGCGACTCGCTTTAATGTACGTAGCATAGGTTAACACGTGTAAATATGCTGCAGGAAAAGTTTTCATTATTGGATTATTAAATACGGGAATATCGTTTAATTATTTCTGACGGCAGATTATTTTTGTTTGCATGCATTGCACAATCCATTTAATATTTCCCATTTAATAGTAATAAGACGAAATTTAATAACAATTACATTAACAATGTATTAATTGTGTAATTGTGTGTAAAAGTGATATAAAATGACGTGGCGCAAAATGTGAAATAATAAGATAAAATAATATACGTATTATGCCCTTACCAAAAATTGTGTTATTGCTGCCGAGGGTATTCACGAACTGTATCGGACATCGTCTGTACGCATTTGGATTATACGTATGCGATCATTTACCTGCGTTCTCTCTGTACCCCTCGGGTATAGCGATAAATAAATCTGTTTCATTCCTGGGAACTATTCTGGATAATGAAATGTCAATGCGGGGAGGCATATGCCTCCGCAACTAATTAACGACAATGTGCGCAAATGCATAATTACGAGAATTCGCATCCCTCACTGCATGACCTATTTCGACTGTAACTACTAATTTATGATCAGATAATCAGTGAATTCCTCAGAACAGGGGCCTCCGGAAATCGTGGAAGTTGAAGAAAGTAGAGGATAGAGAAGGGTCTCACGAGCAAATTAATTATTATAAAATAAGAGATAATCTGATGCTTTGCAAATTTCACCTGTTAATATATATAGCTTTAGGATACTAATAATTAAACTTCCGCTGTATTTTTTCTTTATTGGTATAAAAAAAGGAAATTTGTAAAAATATATGTGCATGAAGTAAAAAAAAAAACTTAATACGCAAATACTTATCTCAAGACTTTAGAAATCGTGTAATGTGAATTTAACGACGATTTATATACATACAGGTATATGTATATAATACCGCCATAAAAAAAGTCCGATATATTCGCGAGTAACGAGCAATTCTTTAACGGAGAGGGAAGCAACGTACGTAGCAATCGGTTACCATGGATTTTCACGCAAATCCATTCAGCTCACGTCCATCCCCTTAGCTTTACTCTGCGTACGATTTTATCAGAATGTCTTCAACGCTCCGATTTTTTTTTTTACGTGTTGTTACCGTTTAAAGAGCTACGAGGGATCTCGACGTAAAGAGTCGATCGTAAAGTTTCTTAGAAGCAAAGCACATCGGCCGCAAATGTGGAAGAACGAAATACACGGCGAGTACTTAGTCCAGTAATCCCGGCTGATAGGAGGCTTTCAAGCCAAAGGGGCAACAAACGCCGCGCCGGATAGGTAGATAAAGGCAGATGTGTTGATGAGCAAAGAGCGGAGAAGCTAGAACTATTAAGAGAGAAGGCCTTCGTGCCGAGAGCTAAAGCCGCCGTTCCAATTTACTAGATCGCGTGGAACGCTATCGTGAAGTTGAACGTGCTCTTTTGCCGGGATAAATTTAATATGTGTCGCACCAGAGAGAAATGTATATGTTGGCTTATTTTTCACGTACACAAGTTCATAGGTAAGAAAAATGATGGTTTCGCTTATATATCAATTTCAGTATTTAATTATTTTCGGCGGATAAAATTTTATATCTTTCTCTCTAATGGAATTAAAGGACTTTCGTAATAAAACAGGTTCCGTATTTGCGTTTTATTATTTATTTATTCACGTATACGTCCATATAAAAATTTCGATACAAAAATTGTATTTGCAAAGTGATTGAAAATTTTCCGTTTATTTTTATCATTGCAGATGTAGCAAATTCAGAGATTGTTGCTGTTCTCACGTGAAGTTATATGGAGGACCGTAAGCAGATAAGCGCGGCGATTCGGATTAAAAAGGCATTTACAGATAGTTATTTCCTCTCGATCGATTTCAACCACCGACCAGGGCGGTTTCGCATATACCACCGCGCGTTGTAAATTCATTGAAGTATAACTTTCCAGTTATTCCCCGGCTGGTAACTTTTGGAACATCTGCATTACGAGCGTATCAACTATAATAAAGCCGGCGAAACGTATAGCTTATGCAAAATTATTGGCCGATTCTAACTTTCCCCAAATACATTTATCCTCGCGCTACCATTAATGCCTATCCACTCGCGGTTGCAACCATGTTAATGGCTTTGTCGTTCCGTAATGACGACGAGCCGAACTTCTGATTAATGTTACATTGTTAGAACGTGCAGTAGTGCAATTACAGGATAATCACTGAAACAAATGTAGACATTGAGTTATCTGTGACTGATTGTCTTTGATGATCAAATTCTTCATCGCATTTTATTGTTAATATATTCAGCATATTTTTATGTTTTATCATTCTCAACTTTTTATTATTTTTCATACCACCGAAATTTTTTATTTGGGATAAGAAAATTTGAAAAATCATTGATATAGAATATATATTTTATATAAATAATATAAAAAAATATTTAAAAAGTTATCCAAAATTTTTCTCACATATGTAAATAAAAAAATTGTACGTTAAAATGAGGGATCCCTTAACATTCTCATAAAAGCGTCTCATAATAAGTTGCATCAATTATTATAAGTAGACAAATTATGCATTATTTTCACGATTTGATCGATATTGTGCATGCATTGCAGTTTAAGCCTACGTGAACACGTTTAACACGATACATGGCGTTTGTACTGTGCAGTACGAAGTTATTGGCTGAATAATGCATATTAGTCGATTCGCCAGGAACTAGCTCCAATTTCCCTCGAGATTCAATTCTCTACGGTACCGTTTCCAGCTTTTTTTTTTAGTGCGTGGCACTATTCATAAGCGGCCACTGGACACTGTTCGTCATCGTCGAGTATTCGTCAGCGTAGGTCCGAATATTTTTACACTAATAAAAATATTATATTCTAATTAGTTAATCAATTTTGTAATTTTTTTATAACACAAAAGATTTGTATTATTTTGGATGTACATCTGCGATAAAAGATAATTGTTTGTTTAAATAACATATCATTGACGATAAAAAATCCAATTTTCTACAGCACTAAAGTCGTCTCTAAAACATTTAGCTTAAATTTCTTTTTAACCTGGAATCAACATTTAATTTGTTTAATGAAGTGCTATTATGATCGCAGTTCCGGTTTAGCATACATTTGCTCAAACCACATGTAATAATTTTGACTGAAAACTCCTATCACGTAGAAAACACCTGTTCCATGTAGTTAGATGTTGTTTCGAAATGTTGCGATTACGAGATAACAGCGTGACATTTAAAGCAAAATTGTACACGTCCGCATGAGTTTCGTGGCACGTCATGCAAGGAGCCTTGCTTACAAGTATCTATTAGAATAAAAAAAAAAAGAATTTGAAATAGAGTTTTGTGAAAATTTACTGATGCTTCTTGTATTATACACATTAAATTATAGTGTACCACATAAATAGTAAGTGTTATGTATTATATATATATTATGATAATCATTAAGACATACTATAATGCACATCATGTGTTACTTTGATTTCACTAATCGATATGTAGGATGTACAATTAAGAACATCGAAGGTACATAATAATAACATTATTATTTGGTTACAACAGTTTATCATGAATTTTTAAGATTATAATAATTTAATTTACTTCGTGAATTTATTATTTAGATTAGTAAAAGAAACTCTGTGGCGATCGTGGCGTGAGAGCTACGCTCTCGGCTTTCTGTGCCAAAAATTTAGGTTCAAATCCACTCAGAATAATATTACTCTAAATCGGTTTTAATCGATTTGGAAGCAATCGTCACCTCTCGGAAGGCAAAGGCAAACCGCCGAGAGTAACACTGTCCAGGAAAATCTCTTCTAATAGGCCATTCGAAACCGGCGCTAAAACTGTAGATACTATATATCTGCAAATATATGCAAAAGAGATCGCCTACACGCTGACAAGCGTATGGTACGCGAAGAGGAGAAGAAGAACAAAATTTTGACGTAAGAGAAAAATATATATCTTGTAATTTCTTGTGTGGAGTGAAATAAAAAACATATTTTAATTTCTCAAGACAAGAAATTACTAGATATACCTATATCTTTCTCTTACTAAGAATTTTATTCTTCTTCGCGTACCATTACAAATGACTATATCAACGCACTTTTATGCAAAAGTAATGACTTCTGTGTAGGCATCAGGCTTGATGTGTACCAAGAATCTTGTTTCCAGGAAGTTGTATTCTCTTACTTAAATAAAACGACACGAAAGTTGTAAAAATAATTTATTTAAAGCCGCAACGAGAGAATGAAGTTTCAGCGCCAGCAACAGCGGCTAGCTCAACCGCGGAAATGTATGCGACGAATAAAATTTCGCCTCGCAATTACCATCTTCACTCCGCGATCACTTGGCGCTGCGAAACATCTTCTTGTTTCAATTGCGATAAATTATGCATCAACCTAGTGGTCTCTTCTTCTCTTTCTCTCTGTCCTTTTCGCTCTCTTTGTCTCCTTTATTCTTTGCGTGAGCGCGTTTTATTCCTCCTAAGCTCGGTAAAAGTTTTCCGCCGCGAGCACCGAACAAGTAGATTACAAATTGTTACGAGACTTTTATAAATATTTAAGTTATACTTACTTGTGTATGTGTGTGTGTAAATAGTAACTAGATGGTGCCTGTTAATTGAAAAAGCCTAACGCCTACACAGAATTCATTACTTTTATAATGAATAAAAGTGCACAGATACTCGTATAGTTGTTTTTAACCATCGATTCAGATGTGTAGAAGTTATTACAAGATATACATATATTTTTCTCTTATATCAGATTTTTTTTACTAATCTAAATAATAAATTAAAGAAGTAAATTAAATTATTGTTTTCCTTTAAAATTATTAATATACAATATATATATATATATATATATATATATATATATATGTATATATATTGTATATTGCGATATCGATCTCGTAATCGGTAACTGTGCAGCGCAACTTCGTCGCATTTTCACGTATATACGTGTAAGCTTTTCGATGGGAATGGTAACTTTCAATAGCGAAACAGAGCAATAGTTGGGCACCAGGCCATTGTGCCTTTAATAAGAAACCACTAATAAATTAGACAAAACTCTAAAGTCGCGGAATATGACAGCTTATGAAATCCGGTAATTCAATCCACGGAATAGTTAGAAAGGTCGGTTCGTTGCGAAATGGAATTAGAGGGCGAGAGAGAAAGAGAACAAAGTATAGAAGAAAATCAGGTCAATCTTAACAATTAGATACCATTAAATGCCAAATGTTTCGATATTATTGGCAGCTCGATAGATACAGATATAAATCCTATCATATAGCGGGACGATAACAATGATTTCTATGATAGCCATAGCATGAATTTCACGTGAATATTACGAGTTCACACTTGACTATCAACCGTGACAAATGTGACTGAAGCACAATCGACGGAAATGCAATACGGCAGAAATGTGAAGACATTGGATATAACCGGTAGCGCAATAGACGATACGATAGCTAGAACGCGAGAACGTATAGTGGACGAAATAAACGAAATGAGAATACTATGAACAAAATGAGAATACGATAAACGAAACGAGAATACAATGTGACTATGTTGTCGACGGCTGCGGAAGAGAAAATCGCACTTTAAACTTCCCGAGTAGGATGGGGCTGTGGACGATCTCATTAAAATCTACAGTTTCAATAGTACACGTTATGCTACATTAATTAGTGATGTAAACGGAATCGGCTTTATATGGAGAATCGTTTTACCAACTTGGCGTAATGGATCCATAATGGCAACTTTGGATGTCCATTTTGGCGTCCTCATCAGCAAGAACTTAGCAATCGTCTATAGTTTGACAATCGCCCAGCAAGTGAATTCCGTACTCAAGAATCCCGTAGAATCATAGAAGATACGCAGATCGCTTATTTATCAGAATTACACTGAAGATACATAGGGCGCAAATCGATAGAGATTTAAATAATTTTCCGATTGTGTGTCATTCTGCGTTCTCAATTCGAAAGTAATAAGCAAATTACTTACGTATATAGATCAGAGGAAAATTCAAAGTACATTGCGAGATACATTCGAATCTAATCATTAAAATAATTATTATTACCTCTATGGATAAAATGCAATAACACAATAATTCCCATTTGCTGTCATTTCGATTTCACGAGATGAATTGCGCGAGATACTTGTTTCGATAATAATCGCATTTACAATCGTTAATAGCGAGATTTAATTAATCGTATACGTCGATCAACAACTAATTGTTCGTAGAATATAATCGCGTTAGAATTATACTTGACGCGTTTGCTTTCCAATGTAATAAAGATGACACATGAAGCGCCGCTGCCTGTTGACTTGAGTTTCGCCGCGAGTGTAACATCTCGCTACGCGGTGACACCAAAACAGATACCAAGGTTGTACTAGAAATCCCTCTCACTAACACAAATTTTATTTTCTTATAAAATAACTGTAATATGAGGTATAATGAATAATTTCACTCAATGAATTTTAAAAGGAGATTGAAATTATCATTAAATATTAATTGAGATTTGTTTCTGTCATATATCGAGTTTATCACAGAGAGTACACCGTCGTATACTATTCGGATTTATTAAGAACGCTTAATAGGTACTCTGTGATTGTCCTGCTAAGCCCGTTCGGAGGTAACTGGCTCAGCATGATATACAGGCTTACAATTATAGCAGTACCAAAGGAATCTGTAATGTCGATACATCACAGTTTCAATCTAGTTGATACGTATATAAATATATATTACTAACAATAAATTTTAATTCTTCACATAGATTATTTAATTTTTTATACACAGATTATACGCAATATATATACGCCGTATTATCATCACAAGATTTTTCATTTTAAGATTAAAAGATCCAGGATAAAAGTTATTAAATCCATTATTTGAAAAATAAAGTTTATTTTTGTTTTACTAAAACAATAATTTTAATTTTTAGAAACCTACTGAATTTATTTTAAGTCAGATTTTTTACATAAGTAAATGTTTTTTAAAAAATATTATTAGATTAAAAAATTAACACATACGAGTTTTTCTCGGTTACTGAAAAAGAGAAACACGATTGTATCTTAGAACATTTTATATGAGTTCCTTAATTAAGTAGCAACTTGTAAATGTAATAATATCAAATTAATTTCCAAAAATTATTATCAAATATTATACCTTAAGAAATCATTTTTCAATAAAATCAATTTTCTTCTTTTATTCTTCAACAAAAAAAAAACAGGACTATAAATCCCAAAATTTTATCGAAATATCGAAATTACTTTGATGTTGCAATTTGTTTGGTAATGAATGACTAGTGTGTATAATGCTGAAATGGAAATTTTTTAATTTATACTGTTTTTAAGTTCTTTAAATCGTACTAAATGAAAGCGGAGCTTATTATTGTTCTCGAATATGAGTCTGGACTATTTTTTGTTTATAAAACATTCATTTCACACTTTCTCCGGCTCTTTTATTTTCACCGCTTTTATTTTCACCTTTAGGCAAAAGTACATAGCACAACTGTAAAGTACATTTCAGTACACTGCACTAATTAATAGTGTTACAGTTGTGATTGTTCTATGCATTTCTATTATTTTCCACAAACTACTTTTTTTAAGAATAGAACAACCATCTACTGGATTTTAATGTTTTATATGTTAATTTTATTTCAATATGATATATCTGAAATAAGGAGAGATACGCTTCAAGTTTCTGTATTTGACGTTCTTTTTCCGCCAACATTTTCTCCAAGTCGGCATATCTGCTTTGAGACACTCTCTCTCATTTCCGCCCTAGTTAGAAATGTAAAATCGTAATACAACGATTATAAAAGGAAGTAAGAGCGCGTACCGGACATTCGTGAATAATTCCAGAACCTTCACTTGAGTTCTAGCCTTTAGAAGCAAGAGACATATCGCAGATTATACGCAATATAGCTATATACGCCCTATTATCATCACAAACTACACAAGATTTTTCATTTTAAGATTAAAAAAATCCAGGATAAAATAATGAGAAAATATATTTATATAAAAGAAAATTATTTTTTTTCGAAAAAGGATAATGGAGATCGCATTTAAATATCGATAAACAATACAGAACGCATACGTACAGATATAGAACACGATATATAAATTAAGTCATTTTAAATAAAATTATATCATTTTAAATAAAATTTCGCGTAACCCTTTCCATTCGATTACAAAAGGTTTTCGTCGCGCTTTCAGAGGATTCGTCGGACACTTTCCAAGTTTTCATTCTCCCAACGAGTACCGGGAGAAAGAAGGATCCCTCGGAGGACATTAAGAATTAGACGCGAAGATTTTCCATTAAATGGAACATTGATTGATTGCTGTGGATAAAGTTCTACGAGGCGGCCGCGTGATAAATGGATATTTCGGAGTACTCCGGTAATTGTTTCCTTGTCGGTGTTCTATCACATTGAACGGTATTTTCCTCTTGCATGGAAAGGACTGCACGAGAGTAATAATTTGTACAATATCATGAAGGAACAAGAACGTCAGTCAATAATCGTGCCGCTTTTAAGTTTTACAACTTTTTCCCCATTGAAATCATAATTACTTTCTTTTCTTACAAATTTTTATTCTATAGTAAACAATAAAAATGCGCATAGACGTACTTTTCCCGAATGTATTTTCGTAAAATCGATATTTTTAATGGGATTTTGCTGATTGATTCTCCAATGTGCGATTTTCAAAAATTTTTCTCCCTAGGAAATTTCACTATTCATAATACGCATGCTGTTTCAATTTTTACAAGTTTGTTACTCGTACGGTTACATGGTATCTCTTGGAAGAGGAAACTTTTCTCGTCTTCAACTTACCGGACCGTGATATTATTTCCCCCTAATAATGGCCTATTACTCGGCGAGTTACAAAGAGAAATGAACTACTGGAAAGAAGATAGGAAAGCGGAAACTGGTGAATACGAGTCTCGTCGTGGAGAAGTAGCAGACAATTTAAACTACAATTTTTGAGACGAGTTTTAATTTTTGTCTTACATTCGCGGTTTGTGACAAAAATATTGATGTCTGTATTGATTAAGGAAGCAAGTTAATTACCATTTATGAAAACCAATTTATATCAACAAATCATAAATTGAAAGTATTTCTGATTTTAAAGAAATGACTATATATTTTCACATATTTTATAAATATATAATTTGAAGGTTACACGATAAAGTACAATTAGACAAAGAGAATGGATCTTTAATATGAAAATTATATGAAAAGAGACACATCTACATACATTAAATGATTATAATTTTGACTATAAAATTATACTAAATATTTATTTTTAAATCATTAATACTCTAAAGTGATATGTGTCAAAACTTTTATTTTGCCTGTATGATATTCGTTTCATATAGATTCATAGATAATACAACGTCAAAAATTTTAATTACTACCGTTTAATAGATCTCTTCCAGAGCGAAAAAGCTTCATCTTTTCTCTACCCCTCCTCCCCTCCCCACTCCCCTGAATCGTTTTGGTGGATGGACAGCTCGTAATGAGATCGCAGCGTCGAGAATGTATCTTTTTGCTGCTCTTCATTACATCTCACGTGCTTGAAATACATTTCCTACTTCTATGTATCATATAATCCGGTCACGCCAAATTTTGCATTCATAATAAAGCGCACGGCAGATATTAACGAAGAATTCTCATGCTTCTATATTTTCCGTGACTTTTTGCTCGTACGACAAAAGTGATGGTTAATAATAGTAAATGTATCTAGATGGTATATGACATTAAATATATCCAGATCCATAGTCAGTCATTAAGGGAGCTAAAAATGCAAAATGTTTTTTTAAAAAATGCACTTCGGAGATCAATTCGCATACAATATATTTAAATATTTTATAAGCGCGCGTTAAAAATCTAGCACAATTTATACATTTTTTATTTTTTATTACACTAAAAAAGATTGATAAATCAATATTAAATAAAATGGGCACACATATGTTTATACGGACAAAAAAAAACATATAAAATGGTTTATCCATTTATAAAACGGTATTTGCTTAAAGATTGATTAATATTTCATATTTGACACAATTTTAGTGTAATTGCAAACAATACATTTTGTAGTTTATGTGTTCATGCTGAAAATTACAATTATACCGCGAGTGAAGAAATATTACATTGGGAAACGGGCAGAATCTGGCTGTGCGTTATCTGCGCGTGAAACGGCGCTTCTTTCGGCGTCTCTAATAAATCAGTGAGATAAAATTTATCGGGTCGACATTCCGCAGAAATCGAGAATCGGCACATTATCCCCTTTTCGCGCTGTCGCGCGCAATCTCTAGGCGCGGAGAATATCGTCGGTGCTGCCCCGCGTCGCGTCGCTTATTCAAGCATGAAATTGAGTCTTACAATACCCGACCTGCCGTGGCGGAGCAGTTTTTCCTTTTCAACGCCTCATCCCCCGCCGCAAGTCTTCCTATCCCGATCATTTCTCAATTGCGTACCGAGCCTTGTGGAACACCTCCCTCCCTCCCTTCCCTAAATACCTCCTTTGAAGGGTCAAAGGGTGGACGTGGAAATTCTCCCGTTAGCGCTTCACGTCGCCCACGTTTGATCGATCGCAAACGCGTACAAGATGTACACACGGTTGAATGCATCGATCATGTTTATTGCTGCTGTCTTGTCATGATTGCGCAAATACCCCGTTTTTATCGGTATGCAATTTCCTGTCCTTGCTCACGATTGTTCTTGCAACACGATTATATATTTTAACTTAACGCATTACATCCATTATATGAAATATTTTCTTAAAAATATTATAAATTAATAAAAAGTTAGCTTCGGAATACAATTTATCTATCGTTCAACAAAATAATCAACACAAAAGTTTTTCTCGTATGTTAAAGTTTATACATTATTTTCTCAGATGTGTCAGTCGTGCTCTTAAGAACCTATTTTTATTATGCAAAGTTGAGGAAAATTAATTTTTCCTACAGGTACATCCTTGCAAGTGCAAAGTAGCTCAATCTGACAGTAAAGATTCACTTTAAAAAGACGCAATATACGCCGATCTTACAAGTTTAAATTTCATTAACTTCCGTTCTCATTTATAAAGAGGGGAAAAATATTTTTTTATTTCGTTTTCCATAAAATATTCCCGAAAAGGCTCACATCATAAAACAATTTCTTATTTGGAAATTTATGAAACAATTATGCATGTTGCATGTCGACCATGAAATTACTTGAATTTAATAAACAAATGTCTCGAGTTAAGCGGATTACCATTATTACGTGTTGCCAATAATTAATTAAACTAATGCCCGCCGATCGATGGAACGCCGAAGCCACGCAATAAATCCGTATCGATGACGGCGCTCAAAGAAAGTCACGATGATACAGGCCGTGCCAAGCTGCCGCCCCATCGTAAATCGTACTCCGGCCATGCGCGCTGACCAGATTTATCGGTTCCTCCATGCGGGCAGATAAGGAGAAATTAATTTTCCGTAGACACCAATTTTTCACGAGTCCGTGTCGACGCGGCTCTAATAGCGTTTCTAAACTTTTAACTTATCTCCTCAACAACGTGTGCGTTATCTCCGATCGCTACCAATTTGGATGATGTAGATTTATTAAATACGTTAGAATTAAATCTATTTTACCAAGAGAAGTTACATAATTATCTCGATTATAATAAATCAAGATCAATATTTTCAGCGTCAATTTTAGATGCTTTTAATATAGGTATAGGCATAGAAGACTTTATTTATCTCATGCTTTACGATAGAAGCACAGAAAAATTTTTATATAATATTTTCGTGAAATTAAAATATGGATTTAAGAAAATTTCTTTCATTACAGTTGCAATCATTTTTACATTATATATTAATTATAATGACGCATCTACAGAAATGTTAAAAGTAATTTATAAATTTTGAATATATGTAGAGAGAATCCTATCATTTTCATCATAAAATATTACATTTCTATTGTCACAAATAAATGCGATATCGATAATTATTACAAACTTGCTAGAAATAAAATAAAAATTTTTTAATCTACTATTCATAAAATATAAAATGATAATGAATAAATCACTCGCTACTCTTATTTCATTATTATAGACGTTTTCTTGTAATTCTTTTTATAAGCAATATTTAAAACCCGGTACTTTCATACGAATCAATTCCGCGGTCGCCACGCTGATTCTACAAAAGCTCATAAAATTCGGCGGTTGTAATGGAGGTCGCGCTATAAACGGTCCGTACTTAAAGCTTGTGGCATTAATGCGCACGAGAGGGTGCATAACACTTTTGATTGAACGTTCCTAATGAAAGCAAAACGGTCGACCATATCCATCAACTTTTTAATTTATTTATGCGCTATATATATATATATATTTGGCATCAACAAGCGTTGCTCGCGGTTATCATATAGAACGACGAATTTGAATCGTACGAGCATCACCTTGTTAAACAAAAATCTCATATACTGTTTTAAATATCTAATTAAAATTAATTGTATAATAATATTTTACGTCGTATATTCTGTGAATAAAATAGAATACCGTGCAAAGTGCTAAGTGTATGAAGCGTATATTAAAGATCTTGCCGTTAATGCGTATAAGCAGAATGTTACGATTGGTACGTTTCGTAAACGAGAAGCGATAAAAGACACGCGAACGTTTGTAGCGAAAGTAATAAGTGTTTACATGTGACAAGAGAAGTGGTTCAACTGGGCAGAAAGATATGTACGTGATGCAATGATAAAACATGGTATTACAGCGAACGTGCCATATCTTGAGAAGTCTTGATGCTAATTAGCGATATACTAGCTTCACTTTTACAGTCTCGGTTTTAATCTGCACCGGTATTTCACGAGCAATAGGTACGGCAGCCCAAGTTAATTTCTATTAATCTAAAAGACCGTCAAAAAAATTACTTTAGAAATTATTCTCTGTTATGAAGCGAGAGAAAATGTTAATTAAAAATATAAAAGACGTTTTTACTTAAAGAGATTGACTCAAATTCTAAATATTAACTTAACTTTTTACGTCATTCTCACTGTGCTATTTTTTTACATTCCATTGACCGATATTAAACGATTTTTCTCGCTTACTGATCGTGTTATTGCGTTACTGGAACATGCAATATTCATGACCTAAAAATATATCCATTTAGCAAATTAAATAATACGTTACTGTTTTAACATACAAATATTTCTAACAAATAATGAATTTTTTCAAGCGAAAATTGTCGCTTTTTTCTGTTATGCATATTTGTTTATACTTTCTAAAAAATATATATAAATGTGTAAAAAAAAACATTAGTATGCATTTTTATCGCCCAGTCACATCTATTATGATGTTCGTTTAAAAGAATAAAAGTTACTTTTTATAAATTTATTATAAAATATAAATATTTGAAGAAATTATTAACTTGAGGAAAAATCAGATAGAGAGAACTTTATTGACAAAAATAAAACTGCCGGCAATAGCAAAGTTAATGGTAAATACATAAAGAAATTAAAAATAAAATAAACTTGAAATAAATGAGGGAACATCTCTCTTTCAGGATGGTCTTGTATAGTTGTCTGTTTCGTCCAGGTAAGTTTCCATCGCGTGACACGGAAACTCGCGGGAGGAACACGTTTCTCAAATCCTCTACGGATTTCCTACCGAAAGGACTTAACAGGGATTAGCCGTTGCATCTACGTGACAAGTATTTGACGTGGATCCAGCACTTGCCACGTGCTCCGACCAAGAAAGACCTCCTTCGCGATTTCGCGATTCTTGTGAATGTATGAGGCAAAATAACATCCGCGAGTAAGTAAGTTTTAATGCAACTGCTTGTCGTGCAAAGTACCGTCATGAATAAAGCCGTGTATTTCGCAGTGTATCGGACGATGTGTAACTAACAAAAATAAATTTAGCTGAAGTAGCAGCGCGAAGCTTCCGAGACGTCGCGGTTGCATTGTCGGGACGCGTGCGCCCCGATAATTCATTCGGCGGCCGCAAATAATAACCGTTGAAGCGAGCAGCAGATGCGGCATTACTCATGTGTTCTTCCTGCAGACGCGAATTCGAGCTCGTTAGTCTGGCTTGCTAGAATCTTCCAGCATGGAAGATGGCTCTTGCGGTCGAGCACAAAGTCGCGTCG